GAGGAACAAATGTATGCTCAACAACACCGCCCCAGTTCTTGAGCAACTGCAACAGAGACCGGGCGCCACAAGATATTTTCCGGAATATGCTGACCACTCTCACATGATTGTACAGCAACCCCGCCCGGTTGTTGAGCACCTAGAACACCCCACCGACCACCACAAAAATATTCCTGGAAATTTCTCCAAGGCTCTCACCTGTGCCCTCAACAACCCCGCCCTGTTGTTGAGAATCGTGGCGACATTGGGATGATCCTGTCCCAAGGACTTCTCAAAGATCTCCTGCGTCCTCTCATACAACCGCTCAGCTTCCGAGGGCTTGCCCTGCAAAACAAGCAATATGATGGCGTGAGCGCGTGGCCAACGAAAGGCCAAGTACCGCGAGAAAATTTTGCGCCACAAGTCTATTCGTGGAATTTTCTGACGGCTCTCACCTGTGCTTTCAACAACCCCGCCAGGTTGTTGAGCGCTGTTGCCATTTGTGGGTGCTCGGGACCCAACGCTGTCTCCCAAATCTCGGTCGCCCGCCTGAACAGAGGCTCGGCCTCGGCGAACTTACCCTGAGACGTGAAAGGCAAGTATGTCAGAAGTGTGGTCAATGCTAGCGGGGATTGACAGCGGGCGAACAATTGCTCAACAACCCCGCCGCCCGGTTGTTGAGCGCTGTTGCCACTTGCGGGTGCTCAGGACCTAAGGCTTTGATCCAAATCTCCGTCGCTCGTTCGTTCAGGGGCACAGCCTCGGCGTAGTTGCCCTGTCGAGAAAATTTCGGGTTCGAAGTAATAGTTGGGAGTCTTTGCAATACTGTTATTGTTGGCAGAGAACCGCGAGAAAAATCCCCGAAAAATCCCCGAAAAATCCCTGGGCTCTCACCTGCGCGCTCAACAACCCCGCCCGGTTGTTGAGCGACTGGGCCACGTTAGGGTGATCTGGCCCAAGCACTTTCTCGCGGATGGCCAAGGAACGCTTATACAACATGCCGGCTTGATCGTAGTTACCCTGGATGTGATGCAAAGGGTGGAAGGAATGTGCTGAGTATGGTAAGCGGATGAACGAATGCTCAACAACCCCGCCCGGAGGAACATTCTACAACCGCGCCCGGTTGTTGAGCGCTGTTGCCACTGTCGGGTGCTCAGGGCCTAAGGCTTTGATCCAAATCTCCGTCGCTCGTTCGTTCAGGGGCACAGCCTCGGCATAGTTGCCCTGTAGAGAAATTTCGGGTGCGAAGTAAGAGTTGGAGTCTTCGCCACACTACTATCGATATGTGAGCAGACAACCGCGAGAAACATCCCCGAAAATCCCTCGACTCTCACCTGTGCTCTCAACAACTCCGCCCTGTTGTTGAGCGCTGTGGCCACTTGCGGGTGATCCGGGCCCAGCGCCTTCTCCAAAATTTCCGTGGCCCGAACATACAACGGGCCGGCCTCATCCAACTTTCCCTGAAGTATGAGCAACCAATACATTGAGAACGTGCGGGTTTATGGCAAGGGGAGGAACAAATGCTCAACAACCCGCCCTGTTGTTGAGCAACTGCAACAAGTATAACGGGCGCCACAAGATGTTTCCTGGAATATTCTGACGGCTTTCACCTGGTCCTGCAACAACCCCGCCCAGTTGTTGAGGTCTTTCGCGACTTCCGGGTGATGAGGACCATACACCTTCTCATCGATTGCCAGCGAGCGCTTGTACAGCGATTCCGCTTCCGCTAACTTCCCCTGAAACACGCCAAAAACAAGGCAGGAGGAATTTTGGAAGTGGGTAGATGCGGAGGAACAAATGCTCAACAACCCCGCCCTGTTGTTGAGCGACTGTAAATTTAATTGAGCACTTCAAGAACTTTCCTGGAACCTTCTGGCGGCTCTCACCTGGGCCTTCAACAACCCCGCCCTAGGGTTGTTGAGCAACTGCAACATCAGATGAACACCGCGAGAAAAAGTCCCGTGTTTTTCTGTCGACTCTCACCTGTGCCCTCAACAACCCCGCCCGGTTGTTGAGCCATACGGCAAGATCTGGATGTTCGGGGCCCAATACTTTCTCCCCAATCTCAATGGCGCGAAGATTGA